TCCCACGTTTGAATTCACATATATACCCAATAAAGTCGCTAAGAGGATAGCCGCCGTGGTCGCTCAGTGGTAGAGAATCGAACGCGTTATTCGAAGGTCGCAGGTTCGGTACCTGCCCACGGCATGTTATCTTTTCACCCACTTTTCTTTCTTCACATTTACCTTACAATTTGGTCTAATAACCTCCCTTATACTTTCATTGGCATTATTGTCTGTTAGATTTCATTAATATTGTGTCAAAACACGGAAAAACGAGCTCTTAAGTATCCACTACTTTCATATATATATATATATATATATATATATATGAAAGACGAAGGCCGGTCCCACGGTCGAAACGTCGGACTAAACTGTGCTGAAACGTTCGTTGTGTGTGAATTACTCCTTTTTCTATCTATCAGAGCCTGCGTGATACTTCCTATAATCCCTTATATATATATATATATATATATATATATATATATATATATATATATATATAATGTGTGTGTGTGTGTGTCGAGCGAGTAATGGCACGTCTTTAGGTTATATGAAGCCAGTTATTCTCACTCTCACGTTACATCGTCGCTTCCAAGAAGCCGTAAGTGGTGATGTTTGTTTGTTTTTTTTTTTACTTGAACTGGCCTTTACTGCGAGCTGCTTTGGAAAGAGCTGAACTGATCGTATCTGTGTTTCTATATCAAGACGGGCCGGCGTCGTGTCTTCGACTAGTTAGGGATGCAGCGCCACGGCAGATACACTTGCACAACACTCGAGCGTGGCGGACGTGAGTTTGCCGAGCGCCTAACGCCGGTACAACGCGGCGTCTCGATGTTTATCTTCACGACTACGTGACTTGGACACCTGTCAGAAACAACGGGGCACGAGACGGTGCGCGCGCACACATATGGCCTATAGCCCCGGGGCCAACACGTGGACATTATGCAAATTTAGGGCGATTAACTGGCGTCAAAGAGCGAGTTTTATGTGTTGTTGTTGTTGTTCCTCTGCTCCTCTGCGTCCGGCAATGGGAAGGAACGCGCATCCTCGTATAACGCACGCTGTCCTGGCGACCATGGCCTTGTCTACTCGTCCCAGGTCGTGTCGGTGTGCTACTCTATATTGATGTCATACTGCAGGATTGTGGAAATAAATAAAAATGATACAGGCCTTGGAGACAACCATTTTCAGAGGTTGCAGAGCTGTGCTACATAATCCGAAAGGAGCCAGAGTGTTCTTAGTTGTCGACCTCAACTGCCTTTTTTTTTATTCATAGATATAATAAGCGATAGTTTTTCTCCGAATTGTGTGAATAATAAAAATATACTCCTCTACAACTACATATTTATAAACGAAGAGAGAGAAAATGAGAGTGAAAGAAGACAGGGAGGTCGGCTAGACTGTCCAATTTTCATGGTTTACTGCTGAGAAGTGGCAGGAGCAAAATTAATTACTTATTTATTTAATTAAATAATAGTTAACAAATTTTGAAACAATAACAATTGGCGGTTTACATCCCGAAATTACCATGTGATTATGAGTAATGCTGTAGTGAAGAGCTCCGGAAATTTCGACAATCTGGTGTTCTTTAACATCCACTAACATCACCCGCTACTCGGGACTCTCATTTCTCCTACATCGAAATGCCAAGGAGTAAAACAAAGCAAGAGAGAAAAAGCATCAGTTTAGAAGATTCATGTGATGGTGCAGCGTCATCTTGAGTCGGTCAACACTCTTAATCAAGTATTGCACAAGGGCTGGTATGGCTTTTATTACTGAATACTCTGTGAGGCCAGGCTGTTCAGATTGCTACATTGTGAAAGGGATTGCCAAGCTCATACACATGCACTACATCACTCATTCCCAAGCGACAACTGTACAGTTGATGAAGCCTACCCCGACTCGGAGGTGGCAGAACAAACAGTTGCATCTTATTTACACGAGCACGTATTCCCAGATCTTTTGGGAAGGATTTACAGCTGAAGTCATTTTATAATTGTTGATTAACACCGTTGCATTAGCATCGTACGATTGAATGTATAGAATACACTCGTATAAGCTTCTTTAGAGTTCATCTTGGCGAGTGAAGCAAAATTGCTGATAAACAAGCAATTAAGCCAACCTAACTTGGTGTTCTGTGCGGGTTAATGCAAGCTCATTTATTTGTATGCAGTGGTCTTGGCTGTCATATTCTCTTCCGCATCTTGTCCTTCGAGTCGTGGCTTTGGGGAAACGCGACATCCTACAGGGCGTTGCTTTTTTTTTTTCCTGTAATGATAAGATGCGATGTTTCCAGCTGCTGCCATTTTGGCTTCGCCACTGAGTCCTGATGTAGCAGTGACTTTAAGATACCGTCGTGTCTAACGGCCTTCGTCGTGGCGTAGTGTCCGGTAACTATTGGCAATGGCGGATCCGCATCCCTTGGAATTGAAACTCGGACTGTCCTCTCTACACTTCGTAGAAGAGTACTGTGGGTGAATGTCTCATGTAGATCGCAGTGTCCTTTCGTTGCTGATCGGTAGCGCGAGAGCTGATCCTCACTCTTGTTCCTATCCTGTATACCATTTCGTCAGCAGGCAATCTGAGACCGCATTTTGGCTTATGCAGCAGTGTGCTTCTTAATCAGTTCGCACAAGAGTGGCTGTGTTGTTCATCTGCCGCTTACAAAGCGCACCACCGTGAAAGTTAATGAAACGATCGTGTTCAGAACCCGTATGAGCCTCTTAGATCATTTTTCCCCCCCCTTTTTTTTTGGAAGACGGATGCAACTCCTAGTGGAAGTCTTCTATCAGTGGCTCAATCTAGGAGCTTACCATTGCGAAAACAAAGGCCAGTTCTTCTGGCTGATTGTCTGGTATGGAACGTGTCTCGTTCGCGAATATTCACAACTAAAGGGGCGTCTTACTTTTGTGACAGTGCAGCAGCATTGGGGATACTCCAGGCATTGTAAACATGAATATTTGCGGTCTAAGTGATTTCCTTTACTCCGCTTTGTTATGAAGCAAATGGGACGCATAAGAAGAAATGACCACCTGCATTCTCTGTCGAACAATTGATTACCTGTCACTGTCATTTATATAAAACTCGTGTGTCCCATAACTCCCATGTGTCCAGTGACCCATTTGACAAGGGAATATGAAGACTGTTCGCCATAAGAGGCTGTTAGATACTGGCCACATGACGCATTGTTTTAAATATGTGGTACCATGTTTGGATATTGTGCTTGATACACGACATTTTTTTTATAGCGTCCAACAAGTTTTACAGCATATGGCGAGGCCTTGTGAATCCACGTTGTCGCGCACTGCAGCAGTTTCAGAATTTTTGGAATCGAGCTTCCGAGCGCACAGAATTTTCGATTGCCGTAATCCATGCATTCGGTGTCTTCCCACGAGCTGCGAACGTGTTCATGATGGGCCCCAGGTGTGGGTTCTATGTCCTTCAAGCTAATTTTATTAGCCGGTGCCAGTTATTGACACTTCTAGAAAGCCATATCTAATGGCACTGCCTTCGTCGTAGCCACAACACAGTCGCGAAGTAGTGTCCACTAAGAGCTATTTCAATGGCAGGTGTATAAGCACATTTCGTGCTAAGAGGCCAAGCGAGCGTATAAATGCTATAAACGTTGGTTCGCATTAATGCTGCACCTCGGGTCTGCCTCTGCACACGCAGTTCTGGCCGGCCAGTAAGTACGGGCGCGAAGGCTTGGCTCTGCCAGCGTAGGGGGCGCCCTGTTTCTCGCATATGCGCTTGCCGGGAGCCTCGTCTTATCTCTGCCGCAATGCGTCTCGACGGCAGGCGTAGTCTGTAAACCACGTGGACTACGTCAAGCTCCGTCTCCCATCTTTTGCCTTGTGGAGGAACGCAGTGGGGAGGGGTACAGAGAGCCAGATCCTCTGTCCATCACGGCCTCGTCTCCCGAGGAGCCCAGCCGAAACGAAACCGGGACAGACTGGCGACGACAATTAGCCATGCCGGAGCCGGTGCGACGACGTGGCGTCGTCGGTCCGGCCATTAGCGCTATGGGGACGTCCAGCTGTCGCAGGCTTGTGCTATGCCACGGAAGGAGGCAGGGAGGGAGGGAAGTGGTCGTGTGGGAGGACGTAAAGACGAGGGGGGGGGAGGGAATCCTAAATGGCCGGCTCGGGCCGTCGTTGCGGTCTGCGTCTCCCTGTCGGGCCGCGGCGGTGCACTATACCAGCGTGGTGGCGGCGGTGTCCAGGAGGAGCCGATGGCGCGGCCGATAGGACATTAGGAATTCCGCGCGCTCGGCGGGCCCTGATAACAGCGTGGTGCTCGCCCGGCTTTCCGGTCGCGCCTTCGGGGGGCGCCGTATGCACTGCTTGCCGTCGTTGGTCGCTGCTCGGAAGATCCAGCCTCCGGCGTCCGACAATGACGCGCCCCGGCGTGGCGCCGCAACGTCCCCTCTTCTTCGTCTCGCTTTAATCATCCCGCTTTGTCTCGAAAGATAACGCGCTGCGAGTGGCCTCTGAGGTGCGTGGGGATTTCCCATCACCAAACCGTGTCACTGTGGGTTTAGCGAAGGATACGGGGATATCATGTCGGCCCTGCATATAACTGTGCTGTAGACGTGGTTTTTCGAGCCGAAACGAAACTTGCTGAGCGTTGCGCATACAGTCTGAAAGCAGGCGCTGTAAGGAGAACGCGAAAACGTGTGAACAACGCGTTCGTGCTGCTTCCATAAGTTAAAAGCGATAGTCCACCCTCCCACAAAAAAAAAAAAATACCGCTTTACAGTTTTTCATCATATAAAGTTTCTGTTGCATCACCAAGCAAAGGTCTAAGCACATTCGCATTGTCTATAAATTGTTGTTCACCGACTTTTGTGCGGAGTGTCTGCCAACATATTGTTAGAGTCAGTAGAATTGAGCATGAGCCGGGGAGTTCTTTCATACAACCTGCAGATTACACAACCTGCGCCTGTAGGGAGTGTTGGTTTTCCTTGAGACGTCATCAACGTTCGTTTAGAGATGGCACGTGTATACAGTCAAGGGGCTTACCGAACGTAGTCGCGCTTGCAGTAAGTCTTTCCGTCGCGCACAAAGCAGGTGCAGGTCTCGTCCAGGAACTGGTGGCAGTCGGCGCACTTGAGGCAGGCCGCGTGCCACTCCAGGTCCGGCGCCACGCGCAGGATGTACTGGTCGCGGATGGGCGCACCGCAGCCGGCGCACACGCGCCGACCACGGCAGCCGCCGGACGCCGCCTTGTCCGAGGCCGACACGCACACTGGTCATGGAAAAACAAAGAAGCGTCAGCCTCATCTCTACACCCTGTACCTACAATATCTTTCAACTACAAAGAACATTTATTTATTTATTTATTTATTTATTTATTTATTTATTTATTTATTTATTTATTTATTTATTTATTTATGAATACTGCAACCCTAACATAGGGTTTTAGCAGGGTGGACGTACATTTGATAAGTTTACAAATCGGCAAACAAATAAATATAAAACAGGTAAGGCATTTACACACTTTCAGAACAAAAAAAAAAGAACACTGGTTTGTAATAAACCGGCATAAGAACATATAGAGAAATGAGCGCTACATTCAAGATGATCACAAGTGAAGAATGGTTACAGTGATTGAAATAAACAACAGGAGCACATGTCATAGAAATTAGACACTCGCTGCTATAGAGCTGCGCAGCAAAAAGGTTCAAGGTTGACTGGGAAACAACTTCGTTACTAAGGTTATTCCATTCGGTAATTGTCCTAGGGAAGAACGAATACTTGAATGTGTTATTACGGGTGGAAAATGGGGTTATTGTAAAGGCATGCCTCTGCCATGTGGTATATCATAACATAATGAGATGCTAACACGGAACCGTTCTGTATCATAGTGGAAAACGGTTGCTAAGGTTTAGATAAAGGCACCTCATCTCTACGGTCACAAGCAGCGCTCTTGCGATCCCGAAATGGAGTCAGTTTGTCGAAGCGCTCTCCGGCGATTCTTTCAACGTTCATCGACTTCTCGTCACTTCATCTTAGCACCTTTCTTCATTCTGAAGGATCAATCTGTCATTAGCAATACAATGGGTTGTGTAGGGGTTGGTAGGGGTTGGTATACAGGAGTAAGGGTTGGCTGCGTACGTGTTTGCAGTAAACTATGTACGAATTTGTTTCGCAAGTGAAGCATAAAACCACAAGAACGTAAAAAACAGATTATCGTTGTTGAAGGAAACTTCAGGTACATTCATCCACTATAGTGAAAGTGAAGTACCCTCACGTCACTATAGTAATCTGTTCTAGCATTCGGCGTATAGCTCTCTTTGACGCAAGAAGTGTAAATTTAAAAGCTCGTCCCTTTGTTTGAATATTGATGAGAACTAACAGGCAATTAGTTAGTCCTCATCGATATTCTCTTTGGCATGGCGTTTTTCGGTGAAGCCTTTAGAACCGGTGTGGCTGCTGCGATACTAGCGGCTTTACTGTTCCAAACTATGCAGGGTGTCCCGCATACCGTCAATCGCTTGGCCTGCTAGATGCTTCCTCGTAAAAAACAAAAAAGAGAGAGAAAATACGCTATTAGTCGTCACTTAAAAACAGCCTCGTAATATAGGTATATATTTAACAACGAAGCTATTTTTAGTCCAGTCTTTCATTTCCGAGGGCAGTCGTAGGTCGCAAACGACCCTTACGGAAACGCCATACATGGCCCATATATAAGTTATATCTGGCCATATATAAGCATATATGGCAGCATATGTGGCCATATATAGGCATATATGGCAGCATATGTGGCCACATATAAGCATATATGGATGTATATCTGGCGGAGTCGGTTCATGTATGGGGTTATATACGGCCATATATGACGCGGTTGGCCCATATAAGGAGTCAAATCTGGCCAAATAAGGCACGGCCACACCATATATAACATATCAAGTGGATCCTTATATGTGGAAGTGCTCTCTTATTTGGGATGAACCACGTATATATTTAGCAACGTGATCACACTTTTATGCGAATTGTAATATATAACAATTTGTACACAAAGCTGACCTGCTTGTTTTTCATAACAATAGGAGTATTAAATATATATGTTGTTTCTGCCATGCAAAAAAACCGAAATTTCAGGTCAGCTTTCTGTACGTGATAGTTGCAACTCAGTTGAATGCATATATGCATGCATTCGTGTAATTTAACTCGTACATTTTTCATAGCATTTAGGTTTGAAACAATAAGTTGCAATTAATACGACTTAAATAATGTATACAAGAGCAGACATGTTTTACGAGGAAGGAATCGTGTCAAGTCACAAAACGTATTGAAGCTTCCGAACCTCGCTATTATTATAGAGCAATCCTATATAGTATTATGTAAAGACAAAATGCATGCAACTTATATTGTTCACATTAATGCATTGTTTAAAGTGGCAGCAAGAAAGAGTAATTTCAATGCACTTTTAGCTTCCACATCGGTGGACAAAATTTCTGATTATTTGAAAGTTTTGATGGCTATATGCTCCCTTCATATAACAAGATTTCTCTTAATCCTGTTGACCCCTCATCTGCGATTGCTTTCAGCAGCCATTTACTATAATTGCATGCGCAGTGCAATGTTTAAGGGAGTATTTTCAAAAACAAAAAGAACTTACGTGAATGCAACTTGCAGGCACTATTATGATTACATTCAAGATGGAAGTTGTACTAATTTATTGCAAAAATACATCTTGCGTTTCCTTTGGCTACGTATAATGTTCCTGGCTGTGCACATAGTAAATTTATCGAAAATTTTATGATTGCACAAGTGAACAAATAATTTAGTGTAATGTTTGCAAGCGTCAAATAAATCTCACGTCATAGACATGTACGTTAAGAAAGGTGCAACTGACTCACACGTGATACATATTTAATGGACCATGTAATGAAATGCTGAAGCTTTATAGCAACATTTAACGTAGGCTGCCGAATTCACAAAACTTCTATTTTGTGTCGGTGTGTCATTACTTAGTCGAGGTCACTAAAGCGCACGTGCCATCATCAGGATTAGCCTAAACATTGCCTTGTGAATACAATTAGTATGACACATTTTTTGCGGGCTGGCGTGATACCTAAGCCAAACTCTACATTATGTAAACAGTCCCTTGTTGTGCAGGCGCGTAACGATTCAAACTGCTTGCGAACATATCCTTTCAACACCAACACGGTAGTGCACTTACTTATAAGATATGTATGCCGGTACATACCCACCAAACTGCGCAAGTGCACACTCACGTATAGAGATTCATGGGCACCCGGACACTGGCATTTCATTCAATGTGGCTAGATATTTTCGGCCATGTCAGAATGATATGAGTGTATTATTATTATTATTATTATTATTATTATTATTATTATTATTATTATTATTATTATTATTATTATTATTATTATTGTTGTTGTTGTTGTTGTTGCTGTATTTCGCAAAACGCCCAACAGCAAATCCATATGCTGTCATACTGCGTCGTTATGTAAGTTTTATGATATCAGTTTTCTTGGTGTTCTTTTTGATAGCATGCTGAATTTTTTCTACTTGCATTAAATGTGCTGCCATGCGAGGCCTTCATTCTCTTCCTGTTGGCTCAACATCTCGCGAGAATCCGGTTCTTTTACAGCCTTCTACAAATTGTACACCGCGATATGTCGTGGTCAACTTGAGTACATATGCATATTTGAATTGGAATGGCCTTGCTAAATCCAGCAGTAGCGCCACTGAGTGAGTCCAGAAAAATTTCATGAGTATTTACCCTCATCGTTTCACTAGAATCCTTTCAACACTGCTAGAATGTTATATTTGCCATCAGTTAACGGCCGGCAAAATCGCGCTGAGCTGTTATTTCTTTACAAGCTAGTTCAGGGTCAGATATTCTGCCCTTCTCGGTTGTAATAATTTTGAAACTCCGCGTAAGTTATCGAGAGAGAATCGACCGTTGCATGTACCTGCCAGCTTCTTTCAACACTCTATCCTTTACAGAATACCGAGTCTATCTAACGTCAACTTTCTCAATTCGTTATGTTTTTCATAGTCTACAGTCATTTTTTTTTTTCAGTGAGGGCTGCCCTGTCCTAACGTAGCTTTGCACATGCACAGATTCTTCCCTTTTCCGTCTTTCAGGAAGCCTTCGCCACGGTTATGTATATTCTACATTATTTTTCAGTCCCATTCCATGGATATCTACTCTTTTATTTGTTGTTTCCATTGTGCGTTGATTTCTTTTCGACTGCTCGTTTTTGCTCTTTTTTTGCATTTCTGTGGACAGTCTGTAATGTATTGTTTGTTTTTGTTTTCTTTTCGCGCGCGCCAGCATGAAAGACCCTATGGTTGTTCTTGGGTAGGTTAAATAATGATTGATTGATTATTGGTTGATTGAATATTATTATTATCATTTTAAATGCTTGCGAAATAAGATGAAAATTCCGCTGAAACGCGTCTTCGTAGCCAGCGTACACGAAGCAGCGATTTCAGCTCCACGGAATGCCTGTCTCAAAGGTCTTGCACGTGCAGCTTTCTGGGCCCGCGGGAGGAAGTTGAAGTCCATTGTTCGAAAAAACTCGCCTGACTGCATTGGTCGCAAGGGGTGCGCACAGTAAAAAAAATACAAAAAAGGGCGCCCGTCGGATGAGTGGACACTTCGGAGAAAGTTGTTCGAAGAAGCGTGGCGCGTAGGCACCATGTAGCCCTGCCGTACGTGGCATACAACAGTCTGTCGACAGTCGACACAGCAGGAAAGAGAGTGCCGCGGCCCATTTCAAGTAACGACGAAGAAAATAGTTTGCACAAACATTCAGTCGTATGGTAATAACATTGCGTCAATAATAGTTAAAAAATGAAGCGTCGTTCACCAATAAGCTCAGGAAAATTTAGTTCTAGTGAAAAGTGCGTAAATCATTGATTTCAAGGAGTAATGTATATCCATTGCAATATTCATTGTCAAGCCTGCGTGCACTGTATCCGTCCGCGTCATTGTTGGTTTTTTTGCTCGCCGGAGTCATGGGTGCCGTGGTGATCGAGTTTGTTAATTTTCATTCCTTTTGCTTTTATTTCGTGTTCAACTACTTCTCCAATTTACACAAGATAATCGCGCAGCTCTCAGGAATCTACTTCGCTGTACGTGGCGAAATTGTGGACGGACGTGGAAGTGTTTTTGTGTGCGTGTGCGTCTGTACGCTGCTGGATTGGCGATCGTCAACTTTTCGTGCGAGAAGAAAATGGATACCCACGCTTGCGGGCAAGCGTTGC